CCTTGGAGGTTTTTAAGGCCCGGCTTGACAAAGCCCTGGCTGGGATGATTTAGCTGGGAATTGGTCCTGCTTTGAGCAGGGGGTTGGACTAGATGACCTCTTGAGGTCCCTTCCAACTCTGATATTCTATGATTCTATGATTCTATGAGTCTGGTGGCACCTTAAAGACTAACAGATTTATTTGGGCATAAGCTTTCGTGAGTAAAAACCTCACTTCACATCTTTAAATCTGTTAGTCTTTAAGGTGCCACCAGACTCTTTAACTTTAAATCTGTTAGTCTTTAAGGTGCCACCAGACTCTTTGTTGTTTTTGTAGATACAGACTAACACGGCTACCCCCTGATACATGAAAATTATCAGAGATTGATCTACAGCAGGCTGTGAGGATTGGGGGTGGGGGCAGCACGTGGATTTATTTCAGCTCATACAAATGCTAACAGGGCCCGTCCATGGGCTCTAGTTCCCATCAGGGAACCGAAACGTTCACGGTCAGTGCAGCCGTGGTGAGAACTCCCCAGAGGCACCCCTGCTCCCAGACCCACCCCCCTACTGTCCCCTCCCCTGCACTCACAGCCGCCCCGTTCCCAAGGCCTGGGGAAAGGTGGGTCTTGTGCGACTCCCATTGGTCACAGACTCTATTTCCAATCCCAGGGTGGGGGGCAGAGCTGCAGGGGGCCAGTGGTCAGGCTCCTTGGCTGGCCTCAGGTGGGGCCAGGGCGGGCCCAGTGAACTGTCATGCAGCCGGAACCTGAGCTACGTCTGGGTGAACCCCCTGCCCCAAGCCCCATGGGCCGCAGTGCCAACCCGGGTAGGGGACAGACTCCTAGAGAGGCCGAATGATGGATGGACTGAATTGGGGCGGGGAGGGGACATATCGGGGACTGTGTTTCCCCTGTTTAACTCCTGTCTCTTGTTGAAAGCAGGGCGAGAATACCCCAAACCCCCCATCTGGGTGAGCCCCAGCAGCGTGGTGGCGCTCGGGGGAAACGTCACCATCCTCTGTGAGGGTTTGTACCCGGGCATGGAGTTCTTTCTGCGTAAAGCTGGACACCCGAACCTGCAGAGGCAGACGGTGCCTGATGGGACCGTGGCTGAATTTCCCATCGCCAGTGTCAGCCGGGAAGATGGAGGGAGCTACACCTGCGACTATCACTCCATAGCAGAACAGAGTCGCTGGTCGTATCCCAGCGACCCCGTCGAGATCATTGTAGCAGGTGAGGGGCCCGGCTCAGTGTCCCGGCTCCCAGCCCCACACCCAGCTGGACACTCAGGGGGTCTCTTCACCGATGGGTTGCTCAGAGCCAGGCTCTGCCCTGAGCCCTGGGCCCAGCAGAGGGGACACCCGGATGCGGAGCGGGGAAGGAGTCACTGAGGGGTACCCAAGCCAGGTGGGAGCAGCAGCCACTGGAGATTTGGTGCAGAGGAAGGGGGGAACCGTCCCCAAAGGGGAGCTGCAGAGCAGGGGGGCTTTTCCAAGGCGATGGGAAGAGCTGAAGGTTATAAACCTCAGTGTATAGTAGAGACTTGCACAGTCCCCTTCAAGTCAGTGGTGGGTGCTGTGCACAGAACCCAGGAGTCCTGGCCCCAATCCTCCCTGCTCCCCCCTCAGAGTCGGGGATAGGACCCAGGAGTCCTGGCTCCCAGCCCTCCCAGCAGAGAAGCCAGGGAGTGAAGGGACCCTGGAAACTGGACTGGCCTGTCACCCACTAGTGAGCAGAGCTCTGGGCCCCCAGGGGCTGGGGTTGCTCCGTGTCTCATGCTGTTAGCTAGGGTTACCATTCGTCCGGATTTACCCGGACATGTTCTCCTTTTTGTTCTAAAAATAGCGTCCGGGGGGAATTTGTAAAGCACTCACAATGTCCGGGATTTCCCCCCTCCCCCGGCAGAGCAGAGCGAGTGGCTGGGAGGGCTGCAGGGAAGTCCCGGGCTGGACTCCGGAGCAGCTGTAGAGGAGCCGGATCCTCCCTGCATTCTGAGCCGGCAGCTCTCCCCTGCAGCCCGGTCCAGCAGCACTGTGCAGGG